TGTATTTTAAATAACAGAGAATCCGGGTATTAGAATAATTATGTATTTTGATATATCACAAATTGAAAATAAAAACTTAAGTATAAAATTGAAAATATAACAGTATGTGAGTGAGTTGATTCATAAGGGTTCATTACGATCCCTACTTTAGGGGAGAAAATGTTTCTGCCGTCTCCTTCTGCGAGCAAGTTATGCTCGCGAAGGAGACGGCGGAGCGGGACCGGGAGAGGTTTAGGACTCTCCCGGTCCGCAGGCGACTCAGGCGCCGGAGGTCGCAGGACGACCTCCGTCCTCCATAAGCGCAGGCCTGGGGGTGACAGGTGAGGCCATCTGTCACCCTAGCAGAAGCAGGCCGGGGTGGCGGCGAGCACAGGGAACTTTGGGTTCCCGCACGGGGGGGGGGGGGGTCGTCTACTCGTCTGTAGATGACCCGAGGTATGTCGGGGTACCAGAGACTTCCTTTCTAGGGTATACCTGGTTCCCCGGCTATTAGTACCCGAGACGGCGTGCGGTTTTAGTCGGTTCAAGTCCGACATGCCACCGACAGGTGGTATCCGAGGGGATTTCCGCACGGAAAAAACAAAAAAAAAAAAGGGGAGAAAATGTACCATATTGTATTGCTAACATTATAAATCTGAATAGTTCGTTAATGGAATAGGTGGGCATTAATCCGTGTGATGATGAATTAAGAATACGTAGTGTCACCACCCCTATTAGTCCCGTTGAGCCGACTACGGGAGCAAACTACGCAGGACAACAGCACTGCAAATAGAAGGAAAACTTGACACAAACCCTATACCAACTCGTCTGGCCAGCGTGGTATAGTAGACCAAAACCTCCTTTCTAAGGAGAGGCCTATGTCCAACAGGAGTACTAAAGGCTGTTAATGATGATGATGACAATCATAGACAATGACGGGCCTGTTGGTCTAGTGGTTAGTGATCCTGACTGCTAAGCCGGAGGTCGTGGATTCGATTCCCACCCAGGACAAATATTGTGTGAAGAGCACGGTCATTTGTTCTGTGTCTGGGTGTAATTTATCTATAATATGTATGTATTTAATCTATCTATACAAATAAATAAAATTGGAGTGTCTGTTTGTAATATTAAAATAACCGCTTTATACTAAATGCATATGTATGTTTACACGGTACATATGCCAAAATAACATTTTTTACAATTTTTGTCTGTCTGTCTGTCTGTTTGTTCCGGGTAATCTCTGGAACGGCTGGACCGATTTCGACGGGACTTTCACTGGCAGATGGCTGATGACATAAGGAGTAACTTGGGCTACTTTTTGTAGACTAGCTTCGCCCCGCGGCGTTGCCCGCGGTTCTTACAACAAACGCGGGTAACACCGCGGGTCTCAGCTAGTAATATATTAGTATGTTTATCAGCAGTCTGGTTACCATAGTACAGGCTCTGCCTAGTTTGGGATCAGACGGTCGTGTGTGGGATGTGTGATGTTGATGATGTGTGATTATTACGGGGGGGTAAATGTTCATTTCACAATTAAGACGAATCAAACGACACCTCAAACGTGAAAGAATGAAGCCGCTTACTCTACAGAGCGTACCAAAGAATTAAACCAACATTAAAAAAAAATCACAGTTCTAGTGGCAGTCGAGTAAAAATGATTACAACTTGTTTGCAGACGGTACTCCTCGATACTGACCTCAATTCATTGGCACTTTCCTTTTTGATTCACTGGACATGTACAAGAAAGGGATAGGCAGAGTTTTATGGTTTAAAGAACATCCTTTTCAAGTTATTGGATTTCGAAGAGTGTAATTTGCTTTTGAGTGTAATTTCAGCTGTCAAAGGTTAAGGTCATTCCGAGTAGGTATTGAACAAAAGTAATAACTACATGTGTATTCCGTGCAAACAGTCTACGCACACTACCACAAAATGGCGGCCGGAGGGGAGGACGGAGGAAGAATGGCGGCTGTTTGATTAATTACAGTTTTTTGGTATTTATTAAATTTTTTTCAGCAAAATGTTCTGTCTACTCATTGTGATAGCATTTTTCATAATTATTAACAAGAAAAATGAAAAATTAAAAAAAGAAAATTGATCAATTTTCCGATAGAAAATTCGACTATTTATATTTTTTTACGATAATTTAGAATACAGTTAGTATTATTTTTAAATAAACACATTTAGTGTGTAATCTCACTATCCTCTTAGTAAATTATTATCAAAAGCTTATGTTAGTTCAATAATATTTATTGCGTAAAATATCTAAGATTTCTACCTCACGCCGATTGGATTAATAGAAATGAAAAACAAATAGCAATATCAATGAAAAACAAATAGCAATGAAAAACGTTAATAAGTCAGTAAATTATACAGTCCATTATTACATTATTGACCCCTGGTCACAGCTATACAGTTTGCGATAAAAAAAAACTAATAAATAAACAATCTATGATTAAAATCAGGTTGTTTTAAATATTTCATTGAATACTTAAATAAGTTGGATTCTGTATACTTAGTGTCTTTCATCACAAAACGTGAGGTCGCATTACCTAATACACTTACAAACTTTTACAAATTACTGTAATTATCTAAGGATGTACTATTAATTTTAAAGCGTCTTAAAAACAGTTGGATTTATTTGTTTTTTTTTTTATGCTTGCTAACCTCAGAAATCCGTGATTTATTAACCGATTTAGAAAATGTTTTTTTTAATTGAGAGGGTATGCCTGCTGTTTGTCAAGATTTTACCTATGGCGCTGTTCTTAATATTATATGTTCAATTATTGTCAATTATCTATACAATTAAATAAAATTGGAGTGTCTGTTTTTAATATTAAAATAGCTGCTTTTTACTAAATGCATATGTATGTTTACACGGTACATATGCCAAAATAACATTTTTTACAATTTTTGTCTGTCTGTCTGTTTGTTCCGGGTAATCTCTGGTACGGCACTGGCAGATAGCTGATGACATAAGGAGTAACTTAGGCTACTTTTTTTAGACTAGCTTCGCCCCGCGGCGTCGCCAGTTGCGTAACTCAGGAGTCACAAATGCGTTGCCGGTCTTTCAGGAAGGAGGACGCTCTTTTCTTAAAAGTTCGAAGGTCATATCGGTCCGGAAATACCGCAGACAATAACTTGTTCCAAAGATTAGTTGTGTGAAGTAAAAAGTGTCTTGAAAAGCGCACAGGGTTTGAGCGCCAATTATCCAGGTGATGGGGATGAAAATTTGAGCACTCTCTATGATATATACGAAAGAGAATGCAGAGAGAAGCTACATCTCTACGTATGTCTATCTCTTTCTTTTTTGTGTGTTAAAGTTGGGTGGTCATGTCGGACTCGAACCGACCAAAAACGGCACGTCGTCTCCAGGCACCAGTAGCCGGGGAACATGAGGATTAAGAACGTGAATGTGTGTGTGTGTGAAATATATTTTGTGATGAAAAAACGACGCGTGACCTCTGTTATATTTAAGATGTCGTAAATGACGAGTATTGACAGTAATACAAGTATATGCATCAATACGTAACATTTTGAGATGTTAAGAAACAACCAAACCACCAGTTAATGTTGGTATCGCCATCATTAAACTTTAAATGGAATTCTTAACATATAATACTCTTTGAGAGGTCCGGTTATAATGGTTGTGGCGAGTAGCGTACAAAATTGGAGCTTATTATATTAGCGATAAGGTGTGAAGTAGAAATCGCAAATATATTTCATAGTTGACAGGAATATTTAAGTGACAATGAATTTTTTCTTTCGTCATCTGTGTTGGGTTTTCTCGGAAACTTCAATAGTAACGTAACAGCAATATAGTGGACTTGGCTGAGAAGTCAGAGGTCCCGGGTTCGAGTCTATTTGCATGTGTGTTACTACATATATATATGATGACGAGGTTGTATGTTTGGTTGAACGCGCTAATTTTAGGAACTACTGGTTCGAATTAAAATATACTATAAGTGTTGATAACCCATTTATCGATGAAGGTTATAAGGTATATAACATCTCGCTACCATCAATAGGAGACGAGCATGATTAAAAATTGTTATACGAACGGGGAAAACTAATTCCTTTTGATAGCCGGAGACGAAGTTGGCTTAATCATCTAAGTATTTATCTATATATATATATAAGAGATTTCCACGTATATAGTCACTCATCACGATATCTCTGGAACCATTAGAGCTAAAGACTTGAAATTTGGTAGGAATATTCTTTTCACCGAGTAGAGGTCAGCTAAGAAAGGATTTTAAGAAATTCAAAAAATAAATAAATTAAATAATGTAAATAGCAAAACAACGTTTGCAGGGTCAGCTAGTAAAGGATAATGGTTATGGTTTTGACTAGTTTTGGAACTATGGGGGTTCTTAGGTGTAGAGATTAACGCCTCATAATGACATCGCGACGTAAACTACGCAGGACAACAACACTGCAAAGAGAAGGAAAACTTGACACAAACCCTATATTAACCCATCTGGCCAGCGCGGTATAGTAAGCCAAAGCCTCCTTTCTAAGGAGAGGCCTGTATCCAGCAGTTCACTATTAAAGGCTGTTGATGATGATGATGAATGACATCGCTATGTAAAGCTCCATGTTGGGTTCGAAATGAGTGGGGAACGTACAGTTGAAAAAAAAACCTTTTTCCTTAAATAAAATTGTCAATTATGGACTAAATACATCAACCGATATTCTTTATTCTTTTAATTAAAAGTTATTGAAGACCTATAAAAAATTAGAAACTGGTTTTGACCTCTGAGGCATCATAAAAGTGCCTCGGAGATCACGTTATGCCGTCGGTCCCGGTTGCCATAAGAACATCTGTGGCAATTGTTACGGGTTTCATCACTAAAAAGTCCGACAACTTTCTACAGAACTTCGATATCGCCTACTTGGTTTGTGGAGGTCTAACGACAGTCGTTCTACGTAAAAAATTGAAGTTCAGTCGTATCGCAGTAGACTTAAGGCCAACCCCATAAAGGCTCGGTGGAAAAGACATCATAAAAGTAGAAAAATCTTACCTTGAAGAATATTCTTGCCCCATCCAGTCACAATACACTCTCCATTACCGTTGTAGTAAGCATCGAGCCTATCAGAAGTAGAAGGCAAGCAGATAGGCCAGATGTTCTTCTGTAGTCTCAGATTTTCGGACAAGACCAGAACTGCAGCGTCGTATTTCAAGTGGCCAGGTTCGTAGAGTGGATGACGGAGGATATGTTTGACTTGGACGATCTGGAATGGCAGAGGTTCGTCGTCGACTCCAAGTTTCCATTCTCCTCCCTTGATGAGCACGTTCTTTGCGAGGAGGCTGTTGGAGAGGATGCGAGTTAGATTCTTCTGTCAGGATAGGCACCGTTGATTTTAGAAGATTTTTTTAAATCTTGTAGTCGATAAATAAGCAGATGACCCCTCAGAACTAGGGGGTATCACAAGTCTGGAGGAGGGCTTTCGCTATAATGGATTAAATATGCTGAAGTTACACTCCTCTTTTATTCTTCTGGATGTTTCTTTAGATAAATATCAGGCCTATAATATGTTATTATTATTGTTCTTTCATCTTTTTTTGTTGACTTACCCTTCAACGCAGCTAGCAGATGTAAGAACAACATCAGGTCTGGTGATGACACCTCCACAGAGTAGGCTCCTGTTGGTCTGGAGCAGAACCATAGCTTGCCAGGGGATCTCAGCGAAGTCTACTTCAAGATCTTGACGGTTGCCGTACGGTTTCTGAGGCTGGTGGATGATAATTAAGATTAGGTGGCGTTCCAGTTAATCTACTCCTGAGCAGAAGGTATTCTTAGGGATATTATTAATTACTAATATTAAGCTGATGATTTTTTATTTGTTTGGATGCGATAATCTTTGAAACTACTAGGCTGATTCGAAAAATTCTTCGTGCATTTGATAGCCCAATTCTTGAGGAAGATAATTTACAAACGTAACAGTGTAACCTCTGGTCATCTCATTGTATAACACCGGTTTTTTCTAAAGCCTTGGTATCTTTCAGTTCGATCCGGAGGAAACGACATAAATGCAAAGAAAGATGCATGCATAAAACATTAGTCCTTATATGTATATCGGTATTTATGTGGTATTGTATCTGATACCTATTTTCCAACTAAGACCAAAATTAGTTCAATACGGTTGAAAATCGCATAAAAATTTTATATACCTTATAAATATTATGACAATTGACATATGTAATTTTTTTTTAAAGACAATTCCCGCATTAGGAATATATCCTGTGTCGCGGGGGACTTTACAATCATACATGAAACGGACACAAAGATCATCCAGACTCAGAACAAAAATTTGTGGATCAAGTGTCGTTCCATGTGGGGTTTGAACCCACAACACTCGGCGTAGTAGAGAGCGGCGTGACGACCGCTTAAACCACTAAGCCATCCGTGCAGTCTATTAAATTTATATGTATTTCTAACACAAATATAAACACAAAATAGTAACTTTTGCAATGTCACGTTTTAACAAGCTCTCTGCTCGTCATCTTACGAAAAACAAGCGTTATTATTTGGCAATATGTTACGAAACGAGTTTGTGACACCTAAAGTTCAATAAGGTCAAGCGGTGACCTTTAGGCGTTATCAGAAATTAACTAGGAAATATTTGTCCACGTGATTCAGGGTCAAAATTTTGTAATATGTTAACATTAAGCAAGCTTTAATTAGAAAAGGTTTTTTAGGGGGCATACGAGCAGACGGGTCTCCTGATGGTAAGGATTACCTGCGCCTATCAATAAGCTGTTTTCAGACGATGGATATAGACCCCATATCGCCTTTGTGTTGAAGGGATATGACACCCGTATCTCCATACTGTTAAATAGCGTCTAACCTACTTATCTATCAAAAATCGAATGATAAATCACAGTCCACTGTGATTTGTCCCATGTCTACTCAAGAGTCACAGGTGCATTAATTGATTCTCTTTCAGCCCCCCCTCCCCCCCGAGCTGTTTGCTTTCAGGCCGTGGCATCAGGTTTTCGTGTGGTGACGGATTAAGAATACGGATTATCACCACCCATATTCATCCTGTAGGTGTCGTAAGAGTCGACTAAAGAAGGAAACAACAGCACTGTAGAGAGAAGGAAAACTTGACACAAACCCTATACCAACCCGTCTGGCCAGCGTGGTATAATAGGCCAAAACTTTCTTTCATATCAGAGACAGCCTATATGTGCCGTCTCATCGCTCTCCCACTGACGTCAACGGCTGCATAAAACTGTGGAGGACCAGTTTATGTTACACCCTTTCTTGGTACATACTCGTACGAGAGTGCAAGTTGTACTGGACAATTAAATAACAAGACGGGCCTGCTGGACCAGATGTTAGTGATAATTAATATTATTCAACGGGAATTAACGCGATCTGGCTGACTCTCAGCCTGTGACCACGGCCGGTGCAACCTGGTCGAAACGTCAGGCAAACCAGAGGTATGTAATACCCTAAATAAGAGATCGCGTTAATTCCCGTTAAATAATATTAATTATCATGGAACGCGAAAGTTTAAAAGTTAGTACAGATGTTATTGATTCTGACTTTTAAGCTGGACTTGATGGCTTTGATTCACACCCAAAACAAATATTGTGTGTTGAGGAGGATCATTTGTTCTGTATCTGGGTGTAATCTTTATATATATAATTCTTCTGTGAGTGTGTATGTCACTGAACTTCTCTCAAACGGTTGGACCGATTTTGATGAAATTTTTTGTGTGTGTTCAAGGGGATCTGGGAATAGTTTAGATTCACAATTTTGTCCGCTGGACAATGTTTTTTTAATTAATTTTTAATTTATTAGTAGTTGTTGATTTTGGAATGTTTTACATTGGATCAGACAGGCGGCGCTACCATCGCAGTGTCAAATTTGACAGGACAACGTCTGTCGGGTCCGCTATCTTATATAAAATTCTCGTGTCACAATGTTCGTTCCCGTACTCCTCCGAAACGGCTTGACCGATTCTCATGAAATTTTGTGAGCATATTGAGTAGGTCTGAGAATCGGCCAACATCTATTTTTCATACCCCTAAATGGTAAGGGTGACCCATCCCTAAATTTTTTTTAGGCAAAGCAACGTTTGCCGGGTCAGCTAGTTTATCTATAATATGTATTTATTTAGAAATATTTAAGTGTGTTTATCAGAAAACTGGTTACTATAGCAAAGGTTCTGCCTAGTTTGGGTTCAGACGGCCGTATGTGAAATGTTTTAAGATTTCATTATTAGTCAAAATTTAACCGCCAAGCGATGCCTTGTAAACATAATTATATATCTGATATAACTACATTCTAACCTATCAAAATGAATGTTTAATTAACGCCAAGAAATGATGTGTACGCTAGATTGATCATCTTTACAAAATGTTGCGACAAAACTCGTCTGATGACACAACACGTGCTTACCTTGCAATTTCTGGCAGGGTTACCCGTTAAAAAATAAATTTAAAATAAGATTTGAACGCGGCTTCATTCGTATTAATTTAATAATAATAATAATATTGTACCACATTCACACAACGCCATCTAGTACCCAAACTAAGCAGAGCTTGTACTATGGGTACTAGATAACTGATATAAATACATATATACTTTTTTTTTTGTAAATACATACTTATTATACATAGAAACACCCAGACCAAATCAAAAATTAAATGTTCATGCACACAAATGTTTGACTTGAGCGGGAATCGAACCCGCGACCTTTGGAATAGCAGTCCGTTACACAAACCACTACGCCATTCGGTCGTCGAACATTTACGCGGTCTCTTAATAAGTGTAATTTATCAATAACATGTATGTATTTAGAAATATATAAGTATGTTTATTTGGATATATTATAGATCGCCTGGCGGTCGAATTTCAGTCGTTTTGAATGTCTTTTATAGTTATGTCGTTGCGTTGTATGCCGTGGAAGTGAGTACGAGGGGTGTAGCAGCTAAATCAATCTATAACCTGGTTAAACACCTCGGATTGCCAAGAGCTTCAGTAAGCTCTTTTCTTGAACGAATATCTAAAGCGGCATAGCTAGGCTCGTATCAAATATAGTTAGGTAGAGGGGGTAACACAGCAGACAGTGGAGGTGAACGCTGACGCGTCGCAAGGAGTACTCCCTAAACCTATTCCTGGGAAGTACCAGTAGCCGGGGAACCAGGTGTACCCTAGGAATGAAATCCCTGGAACCCCGACAAGTTATATCCAATACAGTAAGTGATACCATCTTGACCTAGTAAGGGATGCTGCAAGCATCGGATACTTCAACATCGCAATTTTAAATTTTGTCCGTTTTTGTAACATTTTTCGTTGATGCTCGTCTTCTCTTGGTCACAGCGTACAATCACTTATTTAACTAGCATTATTTTCAAATAAACGTCAAAAAACTTTGTCCACTGACAATAGGAGAATCATAAATCTTTTCTAATATTATAAAGCTGAAGAGTTTGTTTGTTTATTTGTTTGTTTGTTTGTTTGAACGCGCTAATCTCAGGAACTACTGGTTCGATTTGAAAAATTATTTCAGTGTTAGATAGCCCATTTATCGAGGAAGGCTATAGGCTAAATATCATCACGCTAATACCAATAGGAGCGGAACACCAATGAAGAATGTTTAAAAAACGGAGAAAATTTATTACTATTGAGAGACGCAGACGAAGTTGCGCGGGTCAGCTAGTGTTACATAATCTTCCTCGATAAATAGGCTATCTAACACTAAAAGATTTTATCAATTTGGACCAGTAGTTCCTGAGGATAATGAATGTAACCAGACACACAAACAAACGAATTCTTCAGCTTTGTAATATTAGAAAAGATTTATGATTCTCCTATTGTCAGTGGACAAAGTTTTTTGCCGTTTATTTGAAAATAATGCTAGTTAAATAAGTGATTGTACTACGAACTTACATTATTTTTATAATAAGTGCAAATAATTAATAGTTTTAATGCGTATGTATGTATAATTACATCGACTGCGGTTTAAGCAGCCACCTTTTTACGCTGAGTGTTGTGTGACGACACTTTGTGTAATTCACAAATTGTTGTTCTTAGTCTGGGTGTTTCTTGTGTCTGTTACATGTTTGTAAAGTCCCCCGCGACACAGGATATCATGATGTATTATAATGTATAGATATATATTTTAAATTAAGTAATGAAGAATGCAGTTTGCATTCTTCATTACTTAATTAATCGGCAAACGTAGGGTAGGAGGCCATATACCAGGTGAAGTGACGATTTGCGCAAGATGGCTGGCAGGAGCTAGATGCGAGAAGCCCAAAATCGATCTAAGTCGCGTGCAATGGGAGAGGCCTATCTCCAGCAGTGGACTGCGATAGGCTGATGATGATTACTTAATTTTCTACGTTTAAGCGTGGTACTTTTTTTCAAATTGCAATAAGATCAAACTGGAAGTTAATACTTTCCCAAATGCAAAATAAGTTTTTAAATCGGCTCATAGATAACACAGTTCTTGGATAACAAATTAAAAAAGTTATTCTTATAATTACATACTCCGTTTTTGGAAGTCTGTTAAAAAGATATCTCTGTTTTAATCTTCTTAACATTACCAGAACTTTGTTTGGTCACGTATAAATTAATCAATTTTGACCTGACTTAAGTAAAAATCAACTAAACTGTTTCATTTATTTTGACAGTTAATCCTAATGCATATTATAAAAGCGAATGTGATTTTTTTCGTCAAAATTATTTTTTGTTTTTTTTCTTAAATTTGCTTTTTTTTAAAAGACAACTCCTGTACTAGGAATAAATCCTGTATTGTGGGGGACTTTACAAATATACATTAAACGGACACTCAGAACAACAATTTGTGGATCACTCAAAGTGTTGTCTCATGTGGGGATCGAACCCACAACACCCAGTGCAGTAGGAAGCGGCGAGGCGACCGCTTAAACCACTACGCCATCCGTGCAGTCAATTGTACCTACTCACTTCTAATCAGGGGTACATATACAGAAACCCTTTATTTAAAAGAATTATTAATACCCAAGATGAGAGTAAGAGAAAGAAGAGCACGAGTAATATAGCAGTACTTACGTTCAGTACACCGCATTGTCCAGTACCGTCATATCTTGACAAGAAGACTCTATGAACTGACTCCTGAGTTATTTCTTCTCCTTGTCCTTGCTTCAGAGCTTGACCCTGACCTTGTAGGATACCTTGTCCTTGATTGAAGGCGAAGCCCTGTCCTTGACCCTGAGTAACACCGAAACCAGTGTTTTGTGCGACACCAAATCCATTTTGACCTTGGGTAACTGTGAAGCCACTGCCTTCTCGGACTCCTTGTCCTACGCCTTGGCTAACGTACTGGCCTTGTCCTTGTCTGATTCCAGTGCCAAATCCTTGAGAGACACTAATTCCACCGCCTTGAGAAATAGTTTGACCAGTTCCTTGTTGAACTCCAAAGCCTTGATTTTCTGTGAGAATAGTGCCCTGTCCTTGTTTAAATCCGGTTCCAAATCCTTGGGTAACACCTGTACCACTGGTTTGTGTAACAGTCTGACCAACCCCTTGACGGACTCCTTGACCTATGCCCTGGTTTACGCTGAAGCCTGAGCCTTGGTTCCTCTGTATACCCTGATTGGAAAAAGAAGATATTTATCCACCAAAAGCAAAATCGACGAGAATAATTATATGTATGCTCGATGTTCTTCTTACCTGTCCAACCACTTCCAATTGACCTTTACCAGCCTGGCCATAAGCTCCTTGACTTTGGGTTACTGTTTGTCCAATTTGCCCAACACCTACTTGACCGATGCCCGAAGTGGTTTGTGAGACAGAAGAGCCTTGACCATATTGACCTGTGGGAGATTTATTCACGTTTATTACCACTATTGGGAATGGTGTCATACTTTCTATAAATGTGGAAATATAAAGTCTACCTTGTCCTCTCTGTCCATATTGTCCTTTACCTCCCTGGCCATAGGATCCCTGTGTATTGACTGTACCCGGCGTTATGGAGGGGTATCCGGAAGTTACTTGGTTCAGTCCTGGTTCCTGGGTGGTTCTGTAATAATGATATATGTTACGGAACTGTATTTGGGCAAAGTTTTTCAATCAATTGTTTTTTATCCATTCCATTTTCCATCCTGACTGCAAGTGACTAGCTTTGCTTAACACCGGTTTTCTATGAGGCTATGGTAATATGACTGTATAAATAAGTAGCTGTACCCTGTCAAGCATCGCTGTGGCGCATTGGGCTCAACCGACGCGAAAAATATATTAAATAATTTTTAACATCATTTAAAAATTTGACGTCATTCGGTGCAGAAGATGTTGAGTTTTTGAAGCGTACACAAATCAACTTAATATTTTTATATATCTAAATACTTCTTAGTGCAATTAGTTTTTTTTTTTAATTTCCCGTGGCAAAATAATCAGTCTAAAAACAGCAATCCTAAGACTGAAATGAATCTTTACCCAATAGTTTTTGTCAAGAATTAGTAAATCTTTTGCAGAATATTACCTGAAGTTGTTCAGAATAACTGATCCTATTCCTGGTTGTGTTGGTGGCCGGGCAGTGACAAATGGACGAGGGTTATTCGGGCTACCTCGACTGTCGGGTATGTACTTGCCATCGTTGCCTCCGAAGACATCAGGCACCCATTTTCCGAGCTGGTTCACTGGCCAGGGATCCGTGTAGTAAGGATCGCGGCAGCATTTGCCGATGAGTCCTGTCTCGATGTTTTTGCAGTCCTGTTGAGGATAAATGTATGTCGGTACAGAGGATTCTTGCTTAGGTGATTTATAATTTTTTGTATCTTGATCTTGATCACACAAAGTATAGTCCCATGTGGGGATCGGACCCACAGCACTTAGCGTATTAGTAAGCGGCGTGGTGACCGCTTAAACCACGAGAACTATCCGTATCCGTACAGTCTCGTAAATATATGGCTGTACTCGTGTTTGGAAAAATATAAGCATGTTTATCAGCAGTCTAGTTATCAATGCTCCGCCTAATTTGGGATTAGGCGGCCGTGTTTGAGATGTGTAAGGATTTATATGTAAGTATCTACCACAAACAAAAAATACTCACAGTAAGTGGTACTCTGTACGCATCCTGGTCTTGGGTTAAAAAGACAGTGGTGTTCGATATGACCCCTTCAGCTGTACAAAATTCGATGGGGGTACACTTCAAAGCAGCTGCGCATCCGGCTGGGATTTCATCTGTTGGCAAAACGGTATATTGATTAGGACTGATAGGATATCATCATCATCACATAGACAGCCTTTAATAGTCCACTGGTGGACATAGGCCTCTCCTGAGAATAGAGGTTTTGGCCTACTATATTGGGTGATAGGATATAAATGTATATTTTTCAGACGCTTTTCTGGATGAAGTCATTTCTGTAAGTCGAATTAGGGTTTCAATTAATGTAAAACCTTACAAAACTGATCGCCCATCTCATGAGAGACCTGAGTTAGACGTAAGACGTGTTTTGAAAAGACTCTCTGGTGTCCTGAATATGCAAAGGTGGTCGCTCACTCTTGAGTGAGATCCATAACCTAAGTTGCATGGACATGGCTGTGTAAATAGAGAGAATATATCATCCAAACTTTAGGTTTTTTTAGGTTAGGCAATTGACTTTATCTGGTGTTCTTGAATCGGGTAAGGTTTCAGAGTTTATAGAAAGAGATTTTATGGATGCAGTAACGTAGTAACTTAAAAGATTAATTATTTTATAAAATAGGTATTGTTAACATCATAAAACCGCAAAAGAGGAGACAAGTCAATTAATATGGACACCTGAAACTCAGGAATAACAAGTGCATTGCTGGCTTTTGAGTTCAGAGGGAGGGGAGTTGGAGGTCGTATCAGTTCAGAAATACTTTTTTTACAAAAAAAATGTTTTACAGATTGGTTATGTGAGGCAAAAAGTGTACAGAAGTGTATAGTAGTATACGTACAGTACTAGGGATTTGTATTTGTTAATACTATCAAGAACTAAGAAGGTTGGAATCTCGTTTGAGAATCCAGAACATAGCCTATCGAGCTTGGGAATTTAGTATAAAAATAAACTTACTGTTAATTTTCACAGGTCCAGGTGTAGGTGGGAGGAAAGTATCACGAATAACTCCTCCTTCAACGTAAGGTCTTGATTCTGAGCCATCTAGTGGATCCACTGGAGGCAGATATCCTGGCGCTGAAGTAGAAGATACAGGTGGCAGGTACGTTGGCGTTACTCTTTGTGTGAAAGGTCTTAGAGTGGTAACTGGGCGAGGAGTAGTGAAAGGCCGGGGAGAAGTTACAATCGATGAAGGATAGATGTTGGAAGCGCCTGTGGAAGAGTCGACTGGAGGCAGGTAAGGAACACCAGGTTTTAGGTTAGGTATTCCGTTTGGCCTGTAAACACCAGAATTTTGGCTACCAGCAGGGAAAGAGTCGGTTTCAACAAAGTTCGATTGACTGTTGGTTTTGAAGACTTCATTGTTATAGTTATTTCCTCCAAAACGAGTGGGAGTCGGAGCTACGGTTGTTCCAAAGCCTGATCCAACGGCAGACCCAGTAAATTTATTGCCACCATAACTAGATCCAACTTGAGATGTGCCGGAGATTCCAGTACCGGAGAACTGGTTCGTATTGATTCCAAATCCAGAAGAAGTAGTTCCTCTATTCAAAGAGTTAAAGCCGTTATTTGACGAACTTCCAAAACTGTTTGGTCTTGAACCACCATGAGAGAACACTCCTGATTGCTGATTGGTCGAACCGGAGAAGGTACTGGTTCCTACACCGAATGTGCCTTGAGGGATACCAGTTCCTGCTGAAGATGATGTTTCCCATCTGCAGCAAGCTTCAGTTCTGGTGTTGCAGTACTGCTTCTGTAACAAAACAGAGGTAATTGAATAAGGAAAATAAATATAAGCGGCGGTAGCCTAGTGGTAAAGGCATTGGACTTGCGATCAAGAGATCGTAGGTTCAAATCCTGACCAGTACACTACCGACGTGAACCCACTCCTAACACAAGCAATTTAGCTTAGCGGGAGGGGTTAACGGGAATACTAGTGATTTCGGTTGCTTTTTTTTTTAAAGTTCTACTATATTTAAAAAAGAAAAATATTGTCAAATTAGCATAGGTAATGTCAAAAACTAAACATCTATAGTAACATCAAAGTTATAAGTAACACTTATTCAACAGAAGTGTGGTCAGTTGGTTTTTGAATGTTTGTAATGTGTCATTTTTATAACATCGGGCATTTTATTATAAATAACAGGAGTCATGCCGAAAACATTTTCCTTAAGTAACGCAGTATACCACCAACTTGCAACATATTTTTATACTGACTTCTAATCGGTCCTTTCCTTGTTTCTGATATAGATATAACATAGTTTTTATTGACCCTTACGAAGACTGCAACTTCAAAAATATACATACACGGAGATGTCAACAACTTCAGGGATTTATATATATATGACCAGACGGGTATCTTAATGGTAACTGAGTATCTCTCTCCCCCTCAGAATTACGTAAATGGAGGTTTTGGCTCCGATAACCTCACTTACTCGGTAAAAAGCAACGAAAAAATACTTAACAACGTTTTTCTGTGAAGCCATGGTATCGCCATAGGAAGCTGTTTGATGCATCACTAACATCAAAATCATTTTTATCCCCCTTTTACTATTGGGGTCGACACAATGGTGACATAACAAAGGGCTTTCGCCTGGTTTCTTATATCACCAACTGGCTGTTTTACACCAACCGTTCTTGGGAATTTAATATTTTTAATATGGGACTTTGTAATATTTATTATTCCGTGTGGTGACGGATAGGATACGGAGTGTCACCACCCCTATTCATCCCGTAGGTGTCGTAAGAGACGACTAAGGGAGCAAACTACGCAGGACAACAGCACTGCAAAGAGAAGGAAAACTTGAAACAAACCCTATTCCAACCCGTCAGGCCAGCGTGGTATAGTAGGCCAAAACCTCCTTTCTAAGGAGAGGCCTATGTCCAGCAGTGGACTGTTAAAGGCTGTTAATGGTTATGGGACCAAGGAAGACGATAAATTAATTTAAGAAACAATGGATAGGAGACGGGACTGAAGCTGCATGGGTAAGCCATATTTACCTGACTGCGCAAGAAAGAACGTTAAGTGTTTCGAGTGTACTTATGTATGTATATTTTATTTTGGCACGTTCTGTAGTCTAAATGGTTTGACGTATTTTGGCGTTGGAGGTGTCGTTATATTTATCTCGGATTGTGATAATGGCACTGGGTATATGAAAATTATAAAAATTGAAATCCTCTGTTAGTAAATTTTAAGAATTAAAAATTTTCACGCAGTCAGGTTTTTTTTCATCATTAGCTTGTTTTATTTTAATCTAAGATTACTTTAAAATTGTACTGTAAGTCCTTTAACTATATTCATGAGTGTGGTCTTCAATTACCAATTTGGAGTAACTTTCAACCTTATATCTGAGTCTCGTAGATTCATTTTAACTTAATGCTCTCATCTTACATTCTCAGACGTTTTTCTTCTGTATAATTAAGCAATTTGAAGCTTTTTATCTCAGAAACGATCGGAGAACAATAGTATGGAATTATATGTTTATATTTATGTAAATGTATTGCTATTAAAGTCGGAGTAACTAAACATGTGCGATGTAACGTGATTGAATAGCGGTCGTGTTAAAAACCATCCTTAATTTGACCTCCTGAGGGGTTAAATTTTAAAAAATCCTGTTTTTAATGGATGTTTGCAACATAAAACGCATCAGCTGCCAGATTTTCAAGTGTATAGTCCCAGCGGTCTAGGCTCTGCGTTGATGAATGATTCAGTCAGGGTAAGTATTGGAACGAAGTTCCTTATCTCGTGTTGTGAAAGGGGGCTAGACGGAAAAACATCTCACGAAAAGTTGTAACGACACTTTTTATGTCAGTCATTCAGCGCCATCTATCGAATAGATAGGAAATCATTACTTTTCATCTCAGTATTTATTTTGAATTGTCACTTGTCAGTCATTCAGCGCCATCTATCGAATAGATAGGAAATCATTTCTCAAGGAGATTTTACCAATGTATAAATAGTTTTAATTAGAAACCAACTAAAAAATATGTAGGTAATAGCCGCTTTCATAGATGGCGTTGTAATTAAAATCGTGTCGAATCAGTTTTACTCGATCGTCACAACTTCGTTCCTATCGGGTGTCCCACGACACCACACGGCTTTTTTTCATTGTATATTAAAGTAATAAATTCTGTTATCAAATAATTTACAGTTACTCATAAATATTTGTCAAAATAATCAAATAACACATCTTTAATTTGATTTATTAAATATCAATAAAATGTGCAGTTCTTTTTATTTATTTTTAAAGTTCAAAGGCACGTTGGGTGTGGAAAATGGCAGTGGAATCAAGGATAAACATTGAATAAGAATGCAGATTTGTTTGAGCCAAACGATTAATTAATCATCTTTTAATTATATTTCGTGCAGGTGTACATATACGAGTACATACATAACGAAACAGAAATGTGTGGAAATATTTTAGGTGTGGTATGTGTAGTTTAAAAGTTCAACACATCACAACAACAGCCTTTATTAGTTCCTGCTTGATATAGAACCTCCTTAGAAAGGAGGTTTTGGCCTACTATATCACGCTGACCAGACGTGTGGGTATATGGTTCGTGTCAAGTTTTCCTTCTCTTTACAGTGCTGTTGTCCTGCGTAATTTGCTCCCTTAGTCGGTACTTACGACACAAACGGGATGAATGGGGTTCTGAATCGGAATCTTAATCCGTTACCACACGGAATATGTTGATAAGTTACGAACTTTTTAATTTATGCTTTTGAGTATAGATTTAAACTATATTAATATTACAAATACAAAGAGTTTGGTGTTTGGTTGAACGCGCTAATCACAGGAAGAGGTTTGGATTGAAAAATTATATAAGTGTTGAATAACCCATTTAATGACTTTGACTGATAGCTGTTATTGCCCGAATTCTTTAGACTAAACGGCTTGATGGAATTTGTCTTGGGAGGCGTAATTAACAGAGATTGTTGCTATTGTGAGTATTGATATATGGCTTTAGAGTCTCCAGTCATAAGAGACGATTTCAATTTTATTTTTTTTATCAATGAACGATTTTTTTTTTGTCCGTGTGGTGACGGATTAATAATACGAAGTGTCATCACCCCTATTCATCCCATGGGTGTCGTAAGAGCCGACTAAGGAAGTAAACTATACAGGACAACAGCACTCCAAAGATAAGGAAAAACAAACCCTATACCAACCCGTCTGGCCAGCGTGGTATAGTAGGCAAAAACCTCCTTTCTCAGGAGAGGCCTTTGTCCAGCAGTGGACTATTACAGGCTGTTGATGATGTGTGTTGATGTGTGATATTTTAGATTTGCGTTTAAGTTAAGTAAGTACTTTAAAATTTTTACGCAATCGGGTATTTTGTTTTCAATAATTAGATGGCAATATTTTGACTTGGCGTGAAGTGGGTTCGATTCTTATCCAGAACAAGTATTGTATGATGAACAATATCATTGCAAAATTCTCCTTCCATACTACCCGTTTGGTCTTATCCAAATTCCGAGTAAAACTTCCACTTTTTGGGGTACAAAATTAAGCAATGAAGGACGTTGGATTATTTAAGTCGGTGTTACTTTTTTAAATGTTTTTTTCTAGCATTTTATATTTGCTCTTCGACGGGCCTGTTGCCCTAGCGGCTAGAGACCTTGACTGCTAAGCCAGTAGGTTCGATCCAACCCAGGACAAACAATTGTCTTATGAGCACACTGATTGTGTCTGGGTGTACTTTATCTATAACATGTATGTATTTAGAAATATATAAGTATGTTTATCAGCAATCTGGTTGCCATAGTTCTGCCTAGTTTGGGATTAGACGGCCGTGTGTGAGATGTGTGTGTAATACTATAATCCTTATTAGACTAAGCCAATCCCTGTAATAGGAATGCAATGACCATTCGATGTGTTTATAACCAAATACTTATCAAGCCAATCCCACAAAAGACGTTTAGAAGACCGTAAATTACACTACACCTTTAATTGCAAGACATTCCATTGGGTTTATTGTTTTCGAGAGCGTATGCGACATACGAACAAACACTTTAAAGTTATTACAACATATGTCAATCAGTTGTTTAACTTAATATTGAGTTTGTGTAATAATTCGTTACGGCTTCAAGGTAATGTTTTACTTGAAGCTATAAAATATTTAAGGTTTACAAAGCTATAATTTTTTGATTCGTTCTTTGGGAGTAAGCTGGTGAATGCGTGACGAGAGCGTTACAAAAAGTGTGATCGGGCAAGGCAAACGGTTGAAAGGGAGATTTAAGTTAGTGAAGATAGAAACAGAGTTACGTTTTGTATATTACTGTAGGGGCAAGAGAGAGAGGTGCGAGCACACATTTTCTTTCTCTCTTTCTCTCATACCCAATAAGTTTTATTTCAGTCGTGTGGTCAGGTTTCAGTTGAGGATTTATCACTCCCATACGCCCACTACTGTAACTCTTTTACACTAGGATCAACAGCAGTGACCCACGAACAGACCGAGTTCTTGACACTCGGGCAGTCTTAGAAAAAGTTAAACTGTCTTTGGATTTACAACGAAATAAATCAAAACTAAATTTGAAGAGTGGGGAATATAAAACCACTTCGTTTATTGGCAAAGCGTTAGACAAAAATAAAGTGAAAATGGGCAAACAACCTATTAAACAAAGAAGTACCACGGACACAAAACCGCACAGGTTCGGGGCACAAGGGATTTCCTTTCTGAGTACACCTCGTTCCCCGACTACTGGTACCTGAGACGGCGTGTGGTTTTAGTCGGTTCGAGTCTGACATTGCC